TCTCCGGTTTGGTTTTGCATTTGAATATTCCCTGAATATTCCCACGAGCTCGAGCCTGTTGGCAGGGAAGGACCCTGAGGTGGAAAGAGGACCAATTCGGGAACTTGCGTACGGTCACCCAAGCCCAGTGCCATCGAGTCCATCCCATCTCAGAGCACGTCTCTAGGACAGACCAGACCGGAAACTGCAGCTCTCGGTGGGAGCGGACCACCTGGCAGTAAGAAGCCCAGGACCTAATGCTTGGTGCTACCAGGCCTTCTTAACACAAGGCCACAGAGAATTGGAAAGCGACCCAGACCATCGGACTCCCCTGCCTGTTCTAACCACCTCTCGACACTTCCTCCTTTCAGGAACAGCTGCGGGTGAGATCCATGCCAGTGTCCAGCAGGCCCTTCCTGAGAACGGTGACGGTGGGGCCACTGCTCCTGGAGTTTCACAGAGGGACCTCAGTGCTGGTGGTCACGGAGCTACCGGTTCACTTCCTACTCTAAGGCTGTTCCTACAACTCTATTCTCTTCTCTGCTTGACAGATGAAGAAACTGAGGTCCAGCGGTGGAAATGGCCATCTGAGAAACTGGGCAGCCCTACCTGCCAGGACGCTGGACAGAGCATGGAGGGGGTTCTGCCCCTCCAGAACTGGGACGTTGGGTCAGAACTATTGCATGGGCCTGGGAAAAGGGTTGGCCAGAGTTCCCAGAGACTGGACTAGAAGCCTGGCAGTAAACAGGACCTTGGTTCTGGAGCTTAAGCCCTGGTCTGGGCCTGATTCGGCCACTAGTGGCCTCTGACGTCCATCATCTCTGCCTTTGAGCCTGGCCTCCAGCTTATGCCAGCGTGGGTAAGGAAACGACCACTTGGAGCCTTGTCTGCAATGGGGATGGCCCTACCTCAGGCGGTTGGACGAGGAGTCCATGAGGAATGATATAGTAGTGCCCTTGGCACAGGGCCTGCCACTTAGCCAGTGCTCGGTGGCCACCAGCTGTTATTATTGCAAGAGTAATTCCTGTCAGTTTGGCTTCAAGGCCATGATATGAGCTGTGGGGTCAGTGCAGATGGCAGTCTACCACTCAAAGGTTAGCCCAGCCCTGCAAGGGGAGCGAGACACACCCAGTTCCCAGGACCAGGGAAGCTGGGTGATAGCCTCAATCCATCAATGATAGCTTCAGTCCAGCCTAATTTTATGAACCCAGGAGGTACTTAAGCCTGTGGGGGGTGAAAGCTGGCCCAGTTCTCCTGCAGCTCCAGTGGGTCGCAGCCCAGAACAGGTAGGCAGGTATGGGGGGGCGAAGAGTGCCCTGGGCCTTGGGAGACCAGCTAATGAATCAGCTTTGAGAGCAAGGCCCCACAGGCTGGTGTTGGGTCTGCATCCTTGGCAGCTCAGAGGCTGGCAGGTGAAACAGGAGCCTGGGACGCGTCCTACACAGGAGGGGACATCGACCTCAGCTCCCCCTGCCCCTTGACTCGTGTCCAAATGGGGGGCAGATGAAGCTGTGTTTTGTCTACTCTGAAGGATCCCCCTCCTCCTTCGCTGATGCAGGGGGAAGGCTGGGGTGTATTGACCAACGTTAAAGGGAGATTGCCCGAGGAGCCACGTATGAGGGTGGGAAGGCAAGCTAGGGGAAGGGGCAACCATGGGGACAGCTGTTGTGACCTCCTGCCGCAGGCCCTCAGCACCATGACGGTTTCATACACCCTCAAAGTGGCAGAGGCCCGCTTCGGCGGCTTCTCTGGGCTGCTGCTTCGCTGGCGGGGGAGCATCTACAAGCTCCTCTACAAGGAGTTCCTCCTCTTCATCGCCCTGTACGCCCTGCTCAGCATCACCTACCGGTGAGCACGGCCAGGCGACTCGGGGCTGGTCGGCAGGGGAGGCAGGGTTGCCCATCTCTCCTCCTAACTCAGGGCCCCACACTGCCCCGCCCCAGGCTGCTTCTGACGCAGGCGCAGAAGCATGTGTATGCTCAGGTGGCCCGGTACTGCAACCGCTCTGCGGACCTCATCCCCTTGTCCTTCGTGCTGGGTAAGGCCGCCTGGATCTTCCGGTTGGTTGGTTGGGTAGGCAGCTGAGAGGCCGAGTAATCCCCACGGCACAGCCCAGAGGTGGATGAGAAGCAGGCGTAGCAGCTCCGGGATCCCTCAACGCCTTTCTCCACCGAGGAGCCCTGGTGGCGCTGCGCTGGGCTTCGACCTGCCAAGGTCCACAGCTCAAAACCACCAGCTGCTCCGAGGGAGAAACTCGGGGCTTCCCAGACCCCCGTAACCTGCTGCAGTCTGGGAAACCCACGGGGCAGTTCCACCCTGCCCTTTGGGGTCACTGTGAGTCTGCATGGATTGGATGCCATTGATTTGGGTTTTCGTCACAGAAGGGCCCACAACTCTGGGCACTAGCGGGGGCTGTGGGGTGACACCTGCCACCCTCCTCTAGTGAGGAGCAGGTCTCAGAGTTAACCATTACCCTGTCGCCACTTCCCTTTCTGCCTGACAAAGTCCGCACTCGGCCTCAGCTGCCCGGCGCAGCAGAGGAAGTCAGTTGCGTC